GTTCTCCAAACGAAGGGAGAACGATCTCCAAACGCTGGAGAACGGTCTACAAACTCTGGAAAACGGCTGATTTTACTATAATCTCGTGAGATTACAGTAAAAGATCAGTTTACTAAGCAGAGGTAAATTATCTCTGTTTAGTTTGCGGTCCGTCCAATTCTCCAGCTCTGGGCTGTTGAATCTGGAGGGAGAACACAGATCTCCAGTGAAGAGCTGAACACGTTGATCTCCTGAGTGTCATAAACTGTGAATGACCAGAGAATAGCTGAGATCCTCTGAATGGCAGCTATTCATAAACGGACACCTTAATCTTTTTTTTCTGAACAAAGAACTTTCCCCTTTTACTTGCTAAAAACTACAATGTGAAAATGGAAAAAACATTGAGATTGGTTAGAAATTTTAAGATCTCATAAAAAGTCCAATCCTTCTCCTGATTAGAAGCTTAGTATGGTATCTAGGGAAGAACTGGACTGTATAGAGGTGTCCATTTATGAACCAGCGGTAATAGATCGCTGCTCAGTTCTCCGGCATTCTCAGAGAACACAGTTCTCCTGTGAATGCAATTTATGAAGCAGTTCTCCACGAACGAAGGGAGAACGATCTCCAAACGCTGGAGAACGGTCTACAAACGCTGGAGAACGGTCTACAAACTCTGGAAAACGGCTGATTTTACTATAATCTCGTGAGATTACAGTAAAAGATCAGTTTACTAAACAGAGGTAAATTATCTCTGCTAAATTTGCGGTCCCTCTGATTCTCCAGCTCTGGGCTGGAGAATCTGGAGGGAGAACACAGATCTCCAGCGAAGGGCTGACATGATCTCCTGAGTGTCATAAACTGTGAATGACCAGAGAATAGCTGAGATCCTCTGAATCTCAGCTATTCTCTGTGTCATAAAAGAACACCTAAAAGTCACAGTATTTGTATACAAGCTGTTGGCTTGGGAAGCAAAGATGTCCAGCAAATATCTCATACTTACATTTTTTTAAAGGCAGGTCAGTTTTAAATGAAAGACACTGATACTTATCATGTACTCTTCTAATTCAACATAAAAAACTGTCTGTATGATTGTGTCATCTGGAATGCTGCAATAATACTTTACGATTTCATTCAGTAACAGCTATTTAGTCATTGAGATTTATACATAAATCAGTAACTCCTATTTCAAGGTAAATTAGCCAGAGACTGCCAACACCAAGCTCTAGTCCACTACAAATATTCACAGCATAAGCATTTGACCTGGGTCTAGAGCTGATCTAATGATCAAACTCAGAAGTGGAAGTCACTGCTCTTGGCACTCAAGTAAAAAATACTGCTAATGGGGCCCACACAAGTTTCAATCCAAATTTTGCTATTCAGCTGTTTTAATATCCCTATTGAATCTATGAAGAATCAAATCAGGCCTGAATGTTTTTTTATCACTTTCGACTAATTTCTCATCAAACTAGAATCTAAATAGTCATATGGATATGCATTTTTAGATTTTTTTTAACTACCCACACCAAACTAATTAAATAATTAAGCTTGACACAGAAGGACAGCAATTATCTGGTAGTATTTGGCCCAGTGATCCAGGCCTTTGGTATATTGTATGTTATGTGGTGTTTGATATGTGGAAGCAGTGAGACTAGTTTACTAAAGGAGTTGAGGATCTTCACTTAGGAAAGCCATATACTATACCATTTTCTTTCCATCCACCTGAAAGAAAACTGCTCAAATCCCCCAGCAACAAAGTCAGTCAGGGAATCTCCCCAGCAGCGCTATTGAATTTGCTGTTGGGGAGCCTTCCCCCTGCTGGCAAAACACAATAATTATTGCTATAGCTATTATTATTATTATACAGTATTTATAAAGTGCCAATAGTTCGCTCAGCGCTGTACATTACAATGGGGGACAGAACAATAACAATACAATACAATGCAAAACATGAGGGGATCGAGGGCCCTGCTCCTTGGAGCTTACAATCTAGGAGGGAGGGGATGGTGGCACAGGAGGAGATAGCTGTGGGGGGGATGGAGTGGTAGGAAGAGTGGAGGAGGTTGGCAAGTTAGCAGGGGGTGGGGTAGGCTTCCCTGAAGAGATGGGTTTTCAGGGTGCGCCTACAGGAGAGGAGAGTAGGTGATAATCTGATAGGTTGGGGCAGGGAGTTCCAGAGGATGGGTGACACCCTGGAGAAGTCCTGGAAGCGGGCATGGGAGGAGGAGACCAGGGAACTAGAGAGAAGGAGGTCTTGTGAGGAATGTGCATGTTGGGTGGTACTTGGATATCAGGTCGGTGATGTAGTTCGGGGCAGTATGGTGGACAGCTTTGTACGTCAGTGTTAGGATTTTGAATTTGATCCGTTGCGCAATCGGAAGCCAGTGGAGGGATTGGCAGAGGGGGGTGGCGGAGATGGAGCGGTTGGAAAGGTGAATGAGTCTGGAAGCCGTATTCAGGATCGACTGAAGCGGGTATAGCCAGCGGCGAGGCAGGCCAGTAAGGAGTCGAGTCGTGATATATGATGAGGGAGTGGATGAGCTGTTTAGTGGTTTCTGGGGTTAGGAACATGCAGATTTTGGCGATGTTGCGGAGGTGGAGGCGGCACGAGTTTGTTAAAGATTGGACTTGGGGCTGGAAAGATAGGTTGGAGTCCAGAATGACACCAAGTACTCTGGCCTGCGGGGCGAGTTCGATGGTGGCGTTGTTGGATGTGATGGAGAAGTCAATGGGGGGGTGGTGTGCGGGCTGGGGGGAAGACAAGAAACTCGGTTTTGGAGAGGTTCAATTTAAGGAAGTGCTTATATACAGTAATTGTGTGGTGCCTAGTTATTTGTATGGAATTTGTTGATGATAATTCCAGCACACCCCAGCACCTCTTACCATTACATATATTCAGTGCTGAAGGTGCCAGAACTGGGTTCCTTCTGAAAAAAAAAAGCCCTGTATATACACTATATTGCCAAAAGTATTGGGACACCTGCCTTTACATGCACATTAACTTTAATGGCATCCCAGTCTTAGTCCGTAGGGTTCAATATTGAGTTGGCCCCGCCCTTTGCAGCTATAACAGCTTCAACTCTCATGGAAGGCTGTCCACAAGGTTTAGGAGGGTGTCTGTGGGAATGTTTGACCATTCTTCCAGAAGTGCACTTGTGAGGTCAGGCACTGATGTTGGATGAGGAAGCCTGGTACACAGTCTCCGCTCTAATTCATCCCAATGGTGTTCTATGGGGTTGAGGTCAGGACTTTGTGGAGGCCAATCAAGTTCCTCCACCCCAAACTCGCTCATTCATGTGTTTATGGACCTTGCTTTGTACACTAGTGCGCAGCCATGCTGTAACAGGAAGGGGCCATTCCCTAACTGTTCCCACAAAGATGGGAGCAGGAAATTGTCCAAAATGTCTTGGAATGCTGATGGCTTAAGAGTTCCCTTCACTGGAACTATGGGGCCAAGCCCAACCCCTGAAAAGCAACCTCACACCATAATCCCCCCTCACCAAACTTTACACTTGGCACAATGCAGTCAGGCAAGTACCGTTCTCCTAGCAACCACCACACGTAGACACGTCCATCAGATTGCCAGACAGAGAAGAGTGATTCGTCACTCCAGAGAACACGTCTCCAGTGCTCAGAGTCCAGTGGCAGCGTGCTTTACACCACGGCATCCGACGCTTTGCATTGCACTTGGTGATGTAAAGCTTGGATGCAGCAGCTTGGCCATGGGGACTCATTCCATGAAACTCTCTATGCATTGTTGTGCTAATCTGAAGGCCACATGAAGTTTGGAGGTGTTTAGCTATTTACTCTGCAGACAGTTGGCGACTTCTGCGCACTGTGCGCTTCTGCATGCGCTGACCCCACTCTGTTATTTTATGTGGCTTACAACTTCGTGGCTGAGTTGCTGTTGTTTCCAGTTGCTTCCATGTTGTTATAATACCCCTAACAGTTGACCGTGGAATATTTAGTAGGAAATTTCACAGATGGACTTATTGCACAGGTGGCAACCTATCACGATACCACGCTGCTTGAATTCACTGAGCTCCTGAGAGCGACCCATTCTTTCACAAATGTTTGTAGAAGCAGTCTGCAGTGCTTGATTTTATACACCTGTGGTCATAGAGGTGATTGGAACGCCTGAATCCAATGATTTGGAGGGGTGTCCCAATACTTTTGGCAATATAGTGTATATCACAGCTATAGCCACCGGCATTGATCACCCGAAAAAAATTCAACAGGCTGGTTGTACTTAGGCCGATCAATGGATCGTCTTCAGTACAACCAGCCTGCACCATAGCAGACTTGAATCTTGGCTCGTCTGCTGCACTGGCCGAAATTCAATCTATCAATGCCCGGCTTTACTAAAGCAGTTGACTGATTTCAATTTTCTACTCACATGAAAAGCAAATTTATTGTGTAAAGATTCTCATTTCCTTTAGTAAATAAGCCAATCACCAGCCACTCTGGTTTATGATTAATTACATTTGAAATGTGAGCCATTGGCAAACCCTATATTGTTCTTATAAGGATATAGTGGCTGAGCGAATGAGGAGTGACTATGGTGGCTGGGCCAATAATTAATTTAATAAAAACTTATAATATAACATCTTTTAGAATTTAGGCTCTTGACACAAATTGATATTGTAGGCTTTGTTCATTAGGTACCGGCAGTAAAGCAAATGCTTCAGTAAATATGTATTAACCTCCCTAGCGGCCTGATTGTGTCCATATTTCTGTGCTCAAAGCGGTACCATTTTTTTGCATGGAAATATGTATTTTTTTTATTGTAGGCTGTAATTTTTAGGAATAACTCACTGAAATCTGTCCGAACAAGAGTCTAGTAAACATCCCAGGTAGGATAAAACTTGAAACACGAAATCATAAATTATAATTTAATAAATAATCATAAAAAATAATAATATAATAATACATTTAATTCAATAATATAATCAAACCAAAAACACTGAAATTTGAAATTTAGCGCCAAGTTCGCACATCGCTGAGCAAAGTCGCAAAGTCGTTTCCAGTGTCTGATGACAAATTTCCCCCACGAATCATTATCACTTAATTCTGCAAGTGGTTCTGATTTACTATCGCTGTTCTCTAGCCGGTCTAAAACCGATTTTGACCTAAAGGGACGCTTTTTGGATGCCATGGACTTTTCTCAGTTTCCAGGCAGAAAGAACAGTCAAAATGCAGACAGGGGACAGGACAAAGCACTCGGGACAAAATGTATGTGAAATGCTTTGATACAGCAATGTTTTACTATGTGATTTTAGTGAATGTCACTTTTTGTCATTTTCAAATTTCCCGCCGTTCTGTCCCCCATATGTCCCGACGCTCACAGAGGACGGAACCCAGATGACAGATGCCGGCATCCGCCGGATTACATTGCCGGGGACACTGCAGGAGGGACATCGCGGGAGCGCAGGACAAGGTAAGTGATCGAGGGATCGCGGAGCAACGCCGCATGGTAAGCCCGAGTGTAGCTCGGGGTTACCGCTTCTGGTACTAAAACTTTACCCCGAGCTACACTCGGGAATACCGCCAGGGGGGTTAAAGAATAACTCCACTTTTGTTAAGAAAAAAACATTCCCCTCTGGATGATCTATGTACATTGCAAGAAAAACTTTGTTGCAGATTCTTATGTGATTTTAGTGAATGTCACTTTTTGTCATTTTCAAATTGCCCGCCGTTCCGTCCCCCGTACGTCCCAACGCTCGCAGGGGACGGAACCCAGATGACAGATGCCGGCATCCGCCGGATTACATTGCCGGGGACACTGCAGGAGGGACATCGCGGGAGCGCAGGACAAGGTAAGTGATCGAGGGATCGCGGAGCAGCGCCGCATGGTAGGCTCGAGTGTAGCTCGGGGTTACCGCTTGTGGTGCTGAAACTTTACCCCGAGCTACACTCGGGAATACCGCCAGGGGGGTTAATACTGCGTTATTCAGCTCAATAAAATCCTTCCACTCATAGGTGTCCGTTTATGAACCAGCGGTAATAGATCGCTGCTCAGTTCTCCGGCATTCTCGGAGAACACAGTTCTCCTGTGAATGCAGTTTATGAAGCAGTTCTCTGAACGAAGGGAGAACGGTCTCCAAACGCTGGAGAACGGTCTACAAACTCTGGAAAACGGCGGATTTTACTATAATCTCGTGAGATTACAGTAAAAGATCCATTTACTAAACAGAGGTAAATTATCTCTGCTTAGTTTGCGGTCCCTCCGATTCTCCAGCTCTGGGCTGGAGAATCTGGAGGGAGAACACAGATCTCCAGCGAAGGGCTGACATGATCTCCTGAGTGTCATAAACTGTGAATGACCAGAGAATAGCTGAGATCCGTTGACTCGCAGCTATTCTCTGTGTCATAAAAGGACACCTAAGTGTGTTTGAGCAGTGCACCAGTCTAGAAAGGGTCTTGTATTGTAATATGGTCCAATACTCTGTGTACCCAGTGTTTAGATGCTCTCATGTGATGTTTGCTCTCGACGCACTCACAATACAAGTTTTTATTGGACAATCAGCTATAAAATTAATTTATATTAGTACTGGTCACCAGACGTAGGCTAGGTATATAGTAAATGAAAGTACTATGATATGCATGTGCATTTTATTGTATACTTTGTTGTTTGTCCCAGCGCTTACTGCTTACTATTAGAACTTGAATACTTATCCCCAGTATTTGTGAATGTTACTACTGCCGTTTTTTTTTTTTTAATACAGTCACATTGTTAACGGTTTAATCTCAAATCTCAAAGCTATTCAAAATTTTCTCAAATTATCTGTAACAAAAGCACAAAAGTATACGAGAAGGCAATTCTTTGTATTTGATCACAGCATGGTAGATGGGACTTGGAGCAACAACAGATGGCTGTAAAAATCTGGATGCATTTTTAAAATGATAAAAGTTCTTAATTTAGGCTTTATTGATCACTTTTCTGGTGTACATACTTTAAAATGCTGTGCATTCTGCATTTCTCCCCCATAAAGTGTAAATCCATTCACTGGTCCTTCTGTTCTTGCGCTACAGAAATATATTGTAAACAAAGCAAGACAAATAAATAAAAATAATGAAGTATATAAAATAGTATTCTGAGACAGCTGTCTGGTAAACACGCTTACAAGAACAACTCACATCAGTTCAATGTTCATTTCTCTGCACTGGAATCAAACATTCAATGAGTTACGGAATGTGAAATTATACAACACAGGTAAAACGGTTGTTCTAATTCTGGTTCAAAGCTTTATGACTTAATAAATGTGCATTAGTAAATGTTGTGTTGTTTATCCTTTCCTCTCCTGTTTATAATGGAGCAAGTATATAAATCTAATTAGTATCCTTATACTCCAATATAGAAATAAGTAAAATACAGTTGCAAGAAAAAGTATGTGAACCCCTTGGGATTACATGGAGTTTTGCATGAATTGGGCATAAAATGTGCTCTGAACGTCATCTAAGTCACAACAATAGAAGAACACAGTCTGCTGAACATAATACTACACAAACATTAGATGTTGCCATGGTTTAATTGCACATAACATGTAAACATTCACAGTGCAGGGAGGAAAAAGTATGTGAACCTTTGGACTTAATAACTGGTTGACCCTCCTTTGGCAGCAATAACCTCAACCAAATGTTTCCTGTAGTTGCAGATCAGACCTGCACAACGATCTGGAGTCATTTTGGACCACTCCTCTTCACAAAACTGTTTCAGTGTAGCAATATTCTTGGGATGTCTGGTGTGAATCGCTCTCTTAACCACTTCCCGACCGGCCGTTGTATATAAACGGCCGGACGGTGGCACTGCAGGGTCGGGTGGCCGTCTATAAACGGCCTCCCCGCAGCCTGCTTCTGCGCGCTCCCTGGGAGTGCACAGCACCGCGATCCGGTGCCCGCTGTGTCCTCCGGACAGTGAAACACCGATCGTCGGACGGGACCTCTGTACGAGGTCCCGATCATGTGATCACTGATTGGCCAATCAGTGATCACATGCAAAGTAGTAAGCAAGATGTCACTTCTGACATCATTGCTTACTATGTGTGAAATCTGTGAATGATCACAGAGGTCACATGGTACAAGGCTATTCACAAAAGCCTTGTACCATGTGACAAGCTGTGACCAATCACAGCTCACTCTGTATTTCTCAATGAGTGCAGGAATGCACACAGAGAGAAAGAGAAATAATTGCTTTTACATCCTATATGGGTGTGAAAAGCAATCAGTGTAAAAAAAAAAAAAAAAAAAATCTTTATCACCCCTCACAAGTAGTACAGTGTCACCATGGTGACACTGTACTGCTAGGGTGACAGTATGTAAAAAAAAAAAAAAAATAAATAAAAAATAATAATATAAAAAAATAAAATAAAAATGTAAAAAAAAAAATGTTTAAAAATTATAATTTTTGCTTATAAACTAATTTGGATTTTTTTTTTTACTAAAAAGATAACGTAATAAATTTTGGCTAAGATTTATGATGAAATATTATTTATTTGCAAAATTTTATTAAAAAAAAACACTTTTTTAAAAAATTTTTGGACATTTCATTTACATAGCAAAAAAAATACAAATCCCAGTGGTGAATAAATACCACCAAAATAAAGCTTTATCTATCTAAAAAAAATGGTAAAAAATTCATTTGGGTACAGTGTTGCATGACCGCGCAATTGTCATTCAAAGTGTGATAGCGCTAAAAGCTGAAAATTGCCCTGGTCAGGAAGGGGGTAAAAGTGTCCAGTCTGGAAGTGGTTAAGGTCATGCCACAGCATTTCAATGGGGTTGAGGTCAGGACTCTGACTGGGCCACTCCAGAAGGCGTATTCTGTGCTGTTGCAGCCATTGTTTTGTTGAATTACTTGTATGCTTTGGGTCATTGTCCTGTTGCATCACCCATCCTCTGCGGAGCTTCAGTTGGCGGACAGATGGTCGTACGTTTTCCTGCAAAATGTCTTGATAAACTCTGGAATTCATTTTCCCATCAATGACAACAATCCGTCCAGGCCCTGAGGCAGCAAAGCAACTGTATGTGTTTTTTATATTTGCCTATTTTGTTAACTATTGAGCAATTCACCTAAGCACAAATGGCTGTTTGCAATTTAGTCACTTCCAATTTCATATGTAATGGCCAATAGGATATTGCTGGCCAAGATAAGCTGAATTCGGAATTCCTACTACATGTTCAAGGGGCACTGTGAGCAAAATCATGAACAGAAGCAAACAGAATATTCTAAGGAACTGCCAAAAGTCAAAAGCAAGAGGGTACTCAGTCAGTCTGAAGGGTCAAGAAGGCAACATACAGGATCCTTTGAGTAGTCAGTTTTGTGGAAGGCACACCACAAGCAGTAGGTTTTCGGCATGCTTTGTCTTCGCTAGAACCTCCAGTGGGGAGAATGGACTTCAATACAAGGCACTACCAAGTGGTTGCTATCGTTGGCAACAGCACCAAGATAAAGGCCTCAGGTGATGGCTGATTGCAGGAGTGAGCTTCTGGTTGCTGAGAGCACCCGCTGGCCAGTCCTGGTACTGCAGCCCACAAGGCAGGTGACTGATAGGTGTTGGACACAACAACCAAATACAGTCTATAGTGTGAGTGCAAATAGGATCCCAGATGATCTTCAAAAATCCAGTAGCTGGATCCGTGGATGAGGTGATAAAATATGTAAGGATTGCGCACTCACCAGATACACAATCACAATGCACATTTAGAGATGAGAATAGCGCGCAAGTGTTGAAAGAGCGGGATCTGTGTTCAGCTCCTGTGGGAGCCATTTACATCTACAGAGCGGCTATTTCCAAGTGTGGCAGCACTACCAAGCAGTGAAGAGTATCTAACCAGATCTGACCAGACCTACATAAGGATCATTGATGTCCTGAGGTTACCTATTCTAAATGCGCATTGTGATTGCGTATCTGGTGAGTGCGCAATCCTTACATATTTTATCACCTCATCCATGGATCAAGCTACTGGATTTTTGAAGATCATCTGGGATCTTATTTGCACTCACACTATAGACTGTATTTGGTTGTAGTGTCCAACACTACACCTTGTCACCGATTTTATGTGATTTTCTATTATATTGCATTTTATATGAGGATGTTTGAACATAATATGTTTATATGATTTAGCGGATCATTCTAGCGCTGCACCCTGCTTTATTCTGATTATTTTTTTTCTGTTTGATAAGGGCATACTTCCATGGAACTTGGGACCATAAGACACTGTGCAAACACTAGCAACCTATTGTTAAATTTCACCAGTCTTTTGAGGCAAACAAGAGACATCAATAGGAATATTGACAGGGAGTCTGCTATGTAAGCAAAATCCTTACCTACAATTTAAATGTTAAATAACTTCCACACTGGGAAAACTGTTTCAAATATATCTGTATGTCTTTCAGATGTGAAAATACATATTCAAATGCAGTCTACTAAATTTCAATACTTGAAAAAAAAAAAAAAAAAAAGAAAACACTACTAGGGATTATTTGCATAATTTCATTTTACAAAATTGTCTCATTATTTGTTCTTTGTACTCTTGCGAAGTCAATCAATTTTTAACTGATAACCACATAATCCTTTTTTTTTAACTGATAATCACATAATCCTTAGTAAAGCTTGATGTAGGCAGGCTTGAGGCTCGTGTTGATTTACTAAAGGCAAACAAACTGTTTACTTTGCAAGAAAAGTGGTTAGCACTTCCACCGGGTAGCACCAGGGTTGTTGATTTGAATACCAACCACGGCACTATCTGCACTAAGTTTGCATGTCTGCATGGGTTTCCTCTGGGTACTCCCGTTT